ATGATTTTATCAACAAGAGTATACACTATAGTAAACAAAAATACTACCATACATTATGTGATATCACGTGAAAAGATAATACAGATCAGGAGAAGTTTAAGTTCAACAATACCATCAAATTTTCAGAGGAAATGCTTAGACACTGAGGTATACAGACCATATAGAAAAATATTCACGTGTCAGTCACTCCAAAATAGTTTTTCTTTATAAGCTCTATATATGTTATGTGCATGTTTTGCTACGCTGCCTGATTAAAATCAGTAAACTCAGCACGAAATGTTTTCATTGTCCTGACAAAATTGAGGTAGAAGGTTAATTATTATGATGGGAAATTCCATGCGAAATCTCGATCCATCACAATCGGCCACAATCGCTCCCAGTTTCGTGTGTATTCAGGTGTGGAGCCAGACCCAAGTATTTGTAGGTAATTATTTCAGCCACGTCTCTGGTAAACTATGATAGGATTTCGTGCAAACCAACTCAATCAACACAAACAATCATCCTCTTAACAGATCTCAGAGGCACTTCCTCTCAAATAAAATCGACAAATTAAAGTACTCACTTCCATAACAATAAAGTGAGGTAGACTTGGGTAAGTGTAAATGGGCGGTGACCTAACCTAACCTACCTTCCAGAATTGAGAATTATGAGAGCAAGGTTGGTAGAACTGATGACTATTTTGTAGAGGAAGGTTGCCTCGATCGCACCCCGCGAGTAACCTTGAGTAACTCATGACGTAATAGGCCCTTTCTTTTGTACGAAAAATGTAGCACTTTCGTACACTTCGTGTATGATATGTACGCCGGCGCCAATTATTGAGTTGACAGTTGTCAGTATTTTCGAATATTTGAACCATTTTGAATGTGAAAATGATAATTTGTTTGGTCACTTCTTCTTAAAATTCGTACAAGTATAATAAGACTAGTGAATTTAGTTTGTGTTTCCATTAATTTCCACAAGATGAGTATGGATTCAATTTTGTGGACGTAATTTTGATTCATTCAATACCAAAACTTGGCGAATATATTCTGCCCATTTCGATGCCGAGGATTTTGAACGGCACAAGCAGAAAAGCTAAATCACACACCAAACAGAAGAAAACTCAAGGTAGGAATCCCATCAATAATACCAAATACAACAAGAGAAACACCATAAGTATGGAAGTTTGGAAAAATGATCAGAACCAGACCAGTTGTGAATGTTGAGATTCTTGCTGAACGGGTAAAATGGACATCAGAAGATATCACACGTGTTTTCAAGTTGAGATATTTGAGCAAGAGTACGTTACCCAACGAAGAGGAGCTATGTTTATTTGAGAGATTCCTTGAACTATCCTTTATTATAGGTTCACTTATAATAGTAGTGTTATTTTTCATTAATTTTGTTAGAATCATATTTTGTTATTTTTTTATGCTCAAATACTTCGATCAATTGCTCTGTTTTTGACTACAATATAATCAAACAATGAAATACTATTTCCTCTTGTATTTTCTATAGGTATCTAGGAAAGTTTGTTAATTTTTCAGAATACAGAGTTATATTGATAAAATAAGTGATCTGTTGTGTACGAATATTGGTCCACTGCTACTACTTCTGGATCATCAGTTGATTATTCTTATATTTCCTGTAGTTTATTCTTGTTCACATTATCTGATTTGCAGGATATTTATAGGATGAGTAGGTTCATAATCAATGCATAAGTAATCACTAGCTCCATAATTATGCTCCATACCTCAAAACACACATACCTGGTACTACGACCTGGTAAATAGCCCCTGGAACAACATTTTAGATAGGTATTCCTCTCTGTACTACTGATCCATCCAAAATTGCCTTCTCATTTCGAAGATTGAAGGTATTATACAGAAGTATATGTAAATATCCATATTTTATAATGGTACTTACTTATAATATTACATACTATGAATTAATATAATTATGCTGAGCAGACCAAAAAGTTTGTATCATGTTTGTATACTCCATAATTTGGTTAACATTTCATGACATGTCGCTTTAAGGTTGACAACTTGTCGTAGTCGTCTTACTGCCTGTGACGTCACGAGTGACCGTTTCCCCCCTTGCCGCACTATCTATCGAGGCAACCTTCCTATACAAATTATAATCAGTTCTACCAACCTTGTATGAGAGTAATAGACACGCCATCTATGAGAAACAGTTCGAAACATATCTACTAATTGCTCACTTCATCAACAAATGTTTGTTACATTGTGAACAGAATTTGTCGAGGTTGACGCCATAGGAGTGACAGATGACAGTTGTTTCTTCAGTGGCCGTGTTTCTGCATATTTTACATAGTATGTGTGGTTTGATGTTGTCTAGCATATCGAAGTAGTTCAAATTTTCAGCAATTTGTGTTGATAATCTCACAGTTTCAAGAATATCATCAAACTTTTATCATCGTTACACTTGCCCCAATCTATTTCGTTGAGGGAGTATGTGTAAATAAAATTAAGCAAATAGGTGAGGCACGTGTAAACCTATGTTGATTATGCATTTGGTTCCAGAGGGTGGTTCGAAATTACGTTCCCAAGAGTCAGGGACTATGAATGGAGAGCTATATTTCAAAGAAAAACAAAGAATGATAAATTCACATAGACAATAAACCTATTATATCTAGATGAACTGAGCAGGACATTGAATTGCTGTTCCCTAAGCCTGAAGTTGACCACTGGTAAAAACTGTCATTTGAGGTAAAATTTCTGATAATATTGAGTGAAAACTTACTTAATTACATATAGTTATTTGTTTACCTAGGCAGCAAAGTAGTAGATTGACTGCCGAGGCTGAATTCATTGCCGAGCGTAGCGAGGCTAGGAATCCAGCTAAGGCAGTCAATCTACTTTGCTGCCGAGTTGAACACATAATTTTTTCTCCGATTGTTCATAATGATATAGGAGGATATTGTAATTGCAAATTATTACAATTCCCACAATCTCTTTATTTTTCCAGTGTTGTTCAATTAAAATGAAATTTGATAGAAATCGCAGTTGTCCATGATAATTATAGTTTGACAATTCATGAAAATTCTGACAGTTGTGCGAAAAAATATCGGTATATTCAAATTATTATATAATAGACAGTGATAGCGACCTGGAAGTACTCACACCTCCAGAAATAAGGGAGGTGGAGTTGAATTTGTTGCCGGAGAAGTCTCGAATGAAATATGAAGGAAATTATAAACGATTTGTGGATTATTAATTTTGCTGATACATATCAATCAGCAAAGTACCTACTTTGCTGCCTAGGCAGGAAAAGTAATACTTTGCTGATTGATATGTGTCAGCAAAATTAATATTTGCTGCCAATCGGAGAAAAACTTTTTTGTGTCCAAATATTTGAATAAAAGAAGAAATAATAAGTGCTCATATGATCTTCAAGAATTCACTCTTGCCACAAACGAAGGTTAGTACCATCTCAATAATAATTTGTCCTATGGGTTTACACTTGTGGAACTTGAGGTTACATGAGAAAAAAAATCAAATGAACCAAAATTCAATTGATTCTTTATTTGTATATGTCGATGTTGAACAATAAAGGTATCATCAGTTGTGTGAATAGCACCTCAACAACTCTCACTTTGACAATAAAATAAATTTTTGAATTCATCTATTCCAAAAAGCGTGCACACTTACCCAAGTTTACCTTACATAGGAATTTTAGTTTCATTCACTTTCTAAAAATGAACATTTATGAAAAACATCTCGTAACGCTGATGGAACGAAGGATAGATATCTGCGGTTTTCAGAATTGAGAATGCAGGATGTCATACAAATTGACTTGCAGGCATCGACATCAATTTTCTTCTTTATCTAGTTTTGAAGTAGAACTCTCCTCACTTTTCCTTCAGACTTGTTTTCATTCGACCCCACCCTAGGAATTATGAAGGATTTGGATGAAACTCCGTATATATTCGGGTATTTGAGATATTTGTAAGCAATCCGTTTTCAAAATAGATGAATCCTGATTCGTAATGTAGCTTTGACCACAAAAGACCATGAAATGATAAATCGAACTCACTCCATATCACCTGATCGTTTTGATAAGAGGAACGTTCTGAAGAAAAAATTATCTGAATCGTTCACTCAACACACGACATGATATGTCCACTGAGAAAAAATTTAACATGTTTTGGCGAAACACCACCTGAACGTATCAATTTGTAGTCAAAACCATTCAACTATCCCCTGATAAATATTTGAAATTTATCTACATTGGCGACATCATTCCCATTCAGAACAAACCGCTATACAGTGTCAAATAAAATTGGAAAATAGATCGCCTAATAAATTTCCTGTCGGCTCGATTCCAGAGTATAACAATACGATAAATTACACATCGGAAAATTATGTTAAAAAGAATCCGGTATCGAAATAGCTATTGAACAGTGAATTCGAATCGTATTATGCATTAATGTACCAGAATGCACAGCTGCAACTTTTCTCAGCTTCAGTTTCCCATAATGATATACGACTGTTTCCATTAGGAGAAATTCATATCGAATTGCCCTCCGATGACAGTTCTAAAGAATTAGAATTGTAATTCAATAATGCCGTTTGATACAAACGATACCTATATCTACATGCATAATCGGTTTTGAATATTTTCTATAGAAAAACAACAATTACGATATCTTCAATAAAGCTATCTCATCTCTTCTGTCAGAAGACGTAGAGTAATGATGGATCAGATGAGAAGATGGAAAACAAATGATTTTTGCTTACATTGAAAATCGCAAGTTTCAGTTTAGGAGAATGAATCAACATTCTTCTGTGAGTGATCAGTGTCTAAAACTTTCCTGAGACGCTGTCAATGATTCATCACTTCAATAATAAACTGCCATAATATCACATGATGATTGATCCTACCACAAAAGTTCAATCAATCAGAAACCACAGTAGCTTACTCACACATCTTCTGGAAGATCACGATAAAACACTTACTCTACAATAATTATGGAAATGTGAAGAAGATACAAACTGCTTATAATTGATATTAGATAAGATGAAAAACTATAAATAAATAAATTTCACTTCCGTGTGAGGTGAATTGATATTATAACACAGATTGCCTCATCTTGCTTGACAAAATATATTCAACAAAACGTTGGGTTCAATTTCGATAAATATAATATGGTTCAAAACATGCGCATTAAAATAACTGTTTGCCAAAACTTCACAGCTTATGATACAAAAAACAACAATAAATTCAAATAAACCCATCGGCATCCTCAAACATCCAATCTTCATCAGCAACATACACTTTGTCTTTCCTCACTTGAGGCTCTCTCTCACTAGTTCCCTCATATCCTTTCCACTCTTCGTCTTCACTATCTATCGCAGGATTTTTCGTAAAAGGTTTCGCCGGCGAATCCCAGTTCTCAGTTTCATCCAACTCTATTCTATTGAAAGTTTCGGTCGACTCAGTTTCCTCGTCATCCGAGTATAACGACGAAGACGTATTATTCGTTATACATCCAGAAGAATTGAAACTCTCTCTCCTCTTTGGTACTGGACCATCGTACCTGTTACTAGTGTTCTTGTAGTTTTTCCTTAATGTACCTTTCTTCATTGCATAACTTTCGTATTGGGTGAAATCAGCAGTGTTCAAGTAGTTGCTCTCAAGATCTATCGATTCGATCTTTTCGCTATTGAAAGATACCTCCTCTAAAATATTATTGTACAAATCGAGCACCCTTAAAGATGGCATCGAAGAAAAATCTGGAACAGTGTCTATGTAATTGCTTTGGGCCAAGATTACTGCCAAACCTTCCAATTTTCCTATAACGGCTGGTATTGCTACTAAAACGTTATGAGAAACATCCAGAACCTCCAAATTTACCATGAACTCCATGCCATCTGACAACCACGAGATCGAATTATTGTTGATATGTAGTTCAGTCAATGTTTCGAGCCAAGCGATACCTTCAGGAAATATGGACAGGGATAAGTGATTCATCTTCAGTACCTTCAATTGTTGCCACTTTGGTCTCACAAAGAGATCGTCTACCTCGTGTAGTCTGTTAACGGTATTTTTATGTTTATTACTTATATCTAAGTACTCCAATTTACCGAAACACTTTAAAAGACCATAGTCGCTGTCCCTCAGATGACAGTTTCTGAGCTTCAATTTCCTAAGCTGCATTATGTTGAGGTTATAACTGTTTTTATAATATTTGTAGTGATCAGCTTTGTTCGAGCTAAAATTTAATTCCTCTAGGTTTGTACATCTGAATATCAACAACCATTCTGGCAGCGATTTTAGTTCGTTATTGTTCAATTTCAGTTTTCTGATATGACGTAGGCACTCTGGTTCCATATCGAAATGATCTATCTTATTGTGACTGAGATCTAATGATTCTAAATATCTTAAGCTACTATAAAGGCATGCAGGTACTTTTACGAATTTGTTATGTGATAACCCTAGATGTTTCAAATTGGGAATAAGCCACGGAATTGGTAAGTCTCTTAAATTGCAGTATGCTAGATCAAGAAAGGTTATTTCATTCATATTCAACTTATTGCATATAGGGCCATCTATAATGTTACCGAAAAATTCTTTGACTGTTACAGTTCCGCATTCTTCTGTCTTTTCAGAATTTTTTGGCCGTATTCCGATAGACTCAGTTCCATTTCTGAATATCTGCAGTTCCCCAGAGAGTTTTTCATAACCTGAGAAACAAATCGGTCCAGTTAGGTTTCAACGCCCCTATAGATATAAATATGCCTATAATCTCTCAAATTTTAGATTTTAATTTTTTCATCACGAAAGGTCGTTTTATTTTTTGGTTTGATGAAGTTGTTGCTAACATTATTTTGATCACTGATATTTTTTGCAAACCAGGCACGCCTATGTCCATTGAAAAGAATGTTGCCAAATTGTCAGGAGATGTAAGCTGAGTTTCAATAATTTCGAACAGGGGCATGCCTGTGCAGTACAAATGCTAGTTAATAATATCAAAAGATTATGATTCGATATACCTAGTTATTTCCATTCTCAGTTGAACAACATGACACATCTGAACTGACATTCTCGAAAATATAAAATGTTGAATAAATGAGAACTTTCTATTTTTTCTCGATATGGCAACACCGCAACAATTGGAACGCAATAGTTCCGCTTCCACGACTTCCACGAGTAGCAAGTTGAATGAAAACATAAAATCTAGCTATGAATTGATCCCTATCTTTCAAAATAGAATAGAGTATACTATAAATATATTTACCCATGATAGTACATCTATTGATTCACAATGTTCCTTTCCTTCATTAGATTAGGCACTGCACACTTGATATGAGATTGAGGTTATGCAAACTGTCAGGTAAAGCAAAGGACGTGGAGGTGGAAGAAGTAGCGAGGTGTAGAGATGAGAGGTGTTTTTCGTTTATTTGGGAATGTTACAATTCGATCAATTAGCGATAGAAAATAACATGTTGCTCTACCTGACGGCAACAACTTGAACACTTTTGATCGGTTTGTTCTGATGGATGTGACCAAAAGACACAAACAGAAAACAAATGTGAACTATTGTGAACCAATGAAAACAGAGTACATACTATACAGGCTGACTGATAAAAACGCCCCAAGTCATATCGCCGGTATTTATTATCCGATTATAAACATCAAAAATGCAGATGAAATGACTCATCAGATGCTACAAGGTGGCACTAACAATTTCATTCTACAATTTCAACTCTAACGAGAGCGATACGCTTTTCGGGTTAAGATCGCAGCGCTGCGGACGGTGGGAGTTGAAAGCAGGCTATGGGCCATTAAATGTTGTTTACTTTCGAGCTTAGCATGCGAAGAAGCAGGGATCATTTTCGATTTGTGGTGATTTATTTGTGGTATATCATTTGTGGGCTATTCAGAGTTAATTATTGTTTATGTTATTTCATTATCCAGGTATGTTATCACACCTGAACTTGAATTATTATTGAGTGAATTCTACATATTTTCAGACATGAAGCTGAGCATCTCATATCGGCTGGCAAAATTCGAGAAAATTCTTGTTCTAACTTTATTGATGTGTATTGATTTTGTCTGCAGTCAAGTGGTCCTGGATTTGAATCATGTGAAACTTTTGGAAAATTTCCTCATGGAACAGCTCTATAGGCTTCAATGTCCTACGTTTAGGTCTTTCTGGAAGATTAAATAAACTGTTAGAACATATAAAGATATCCATTAATATTGTTATGTTAGTCTTTTTATTATTTTCATTTTGTTAGCAGTTTGAAAGAACACACTCACATGTGAATAGATGTTTTTTTTTTCAATTTTCAACAACTTTATCCACACTCGTCTCTTATCAATTTTCTCCTTGTTTCCCGACTGTTTTTACAAAAACATTATGATATATCCTGCTCTAGGTAACGTATGAAAACTTAATTCAGGTTTTTTTCCACCCAAGATGAACATTGAGGAACACAATAATAATAATTCATTCTGAAAAGTATGAAACTTTGGCAAATATCACGAAAACTACTAGATAACAATGTCTCTAACGTTAAAATACACCTCAAATTGATTGGAATTACGACGATTGACAGATGAAAATGGCCCATGAATCTGTCCGGTATCGTTTATCCCGAAATACGTATTGTAAATTTTTTTTTAAATGGCAATGTGCAATTTTTTTATGATAGAGATTTTTTTCAATACCAATGAAATGAGTTGAGAGAAATGTTTGCCCTGTAGTCAAGAAATTGGTCATTTACGGTCATTCATTACATTCTCTAGTTTGCAGTTTTCTAAAATAGTCATTTGTTTCTATTAAATCATTATCTCAACCTTATATTTTCTTTTTTTTTATAAGGAATAATGGACTCGATCTTCAATGACTCGATAGAAAATCTGATAGAAAGAGAAGACATAAGACTAATTTTGCGTGAAAGTCAACTATTCAAATTTAGAATGGAAACAAATGATAATCATAATATATGGGTTGTTTGAATTATTTTCACGTGTACAATATACACACCTGGAGTCTGGAGCGTTCCTCCCGACTCATCCTGTACAACATCAAAAGCTGAAACGTAACATTAATGGCATGAACTTCCCATCTCTAATGTGTTGCACAGTAGCACAGTCGTTGTCAGCTGCAGATGGCTTCTCACTCCCTCCAAATTCAGTGGCCATAGGCGTACCTATGGTATGGTGGTAGAATAATTTCTCGGCATCAGAAGAACAAATTTAATATGATGATATCAAATAAGAATGAAACCTATTTTTGTATTACGGAAAACTTTTAATATTTTTCACCGGCAAATCGACAGATATCGTCTGACGGAAAAAGTCTAGAACAATTTTTCAATTTTTCTCGAAAATTGTTGACATTATGTCTCAAAGTCGTTGTAGTGTGGACAGAAGATAAAACCCAAAAGATCACTGATTTCAACATCCATTTGATGAGCATCTTCTTCAGATTGGGCTGTTTTGGAACGGCTGATGTTACTAACCTAGATACACCAATGTGGGAAATTGCACATGAAAATATCATGGAATGGATTGTTTGATGACCCAGAAGTCTGATGTCCAAGAATTCATAGACTTTTGGATTTTATAACCCTTTTGAATTGTTCTTGGAAGTCACAGATAAAAAAATCATCATTCAACATTCACTATAATTTCTTTTTTTCAGATTCAGCTGTTTTGGAGAGGCTGGTGGTACTTACCTATGTGGACCGTGGTACTTACATATAGATAAAGCCACATTAGCAATGTGATCATGCAGATCATAACCTAACCTCAGTATACTTAGGCAAATCATTTCTGTTAGTGATATTTCGCCTCTGTCTTCGACTCAACTGATAAACATATATTTGAGATATTTGATTATCACTATGAACAAACCAGAATGGAATAATTACACGATTCAAATTCTGAATTTGAAAAAATCTGCGGAGACAAACATGCAAAGAATAACATAACCTCCAGAAAACTAACCTGAAGTTATCTTCTTCTCATCAATTAACCTCAAAATATAATCTCAAATGATTTCGTTACATAACTACTATCGAATACCAACTCATACAGAACAGAACGTTGCACTCATATACATTTTTTTGTGACTTAGAAATGATTGTATAGTTTGGATACTTGAATGAAACTTGCGATTTTGTTTCCTTTACCATGCATGTATAATTCAACTTAACAATTCTTTTCATGGCATTTGAAGCATCATATACGTATATGAATGTTTTCTGTTATGTAACCAGTAGAACAAGAAAATATATTACATGAAATATAATAGCACTATAACAGATTAGTACGTTGCAAGGTGATGTTCCTCTCGGAACCTTGATGAGCTCCATTTGCCATATGGCAGACATATTATGTGTGTTTGCTGGGTTATTCCAAAATCTTCTGGTCAAATGTTTTGAGAATGATCATGGAGTTATCCCAATTTAGAACTTGATTGATTATTATACACAATAACCATATAGTATGATAGATCATTTACAGGGTGAAGTCAGATAGATGACTGATTTACACAATATTATGAATAATATATTTTCCAAGTTGCGTCATTCTTTTTTCTTTCCTTGTGCATTCTCCTGCAAGAAAGAAAACTCCAGTGCCACAAACAATCGGTATCGTATTTCTCGAAATAACCGAATTAGTGAATGGGAACAGCTGCTGACGCCCTGTAATTTTCTCCTGGAAAAATGGAATTGTAAATAGAAATTCGATGGCGAGGCGAGCCGAAGAAAATGATCTATCGCAAAAATAATTCCCTTAACGCCGTTATAACGAGAACGCCGACAACGAAGAACCCGCAAAAATGCTCATCAACCGGATAATGGAACTTGATAGATAAATAAATGGCGCTTTTCTCGCATATCTGGCTGGGGCACATAATAATATTGGCCTCAAAATGAAACAGATGATTTGAAAATGAATTCAATCTATCATATTATGGCGTAACCATTTTCTTGGGATATTGGGGCGACTCAATTGTGCCCCCTGACATATAGTCTCCCAATTTCAATGTATCAACTGAAACGAAGAATATTATAAAATGAAGTTTTGAAGAATATATGGTTACAAAATACCACATTTTTATTCATAAAGTCCTAATAAAACTGCAAACGCAATAAAGATCATCTGACACGATAAAGATAGCCTCTGGTATAGTTCTTGAAGAATATCTCGGTAAGATATTATTATCGAGTCAACAAATTAAAAAAAAATTCCAACAAAAAAAAACAATAAAGAATAAGAAAGAAAACAGTTTTCTCTACCACTAGCTCTAGAACCTACCATTATTTATTCCTTCTCAAGACGTGAAGTGTGGTTTTACTACCAAGGTAGTTTTTGTCATTTAATGAGTCACTAGTCAATATAGATTAGATTTGGAATGGGGCCTTTGGGCTATCTGCCTCCACACTGCGACCTTTTCAGATCTATTGTGCCTGCCCTCAAAATGGATTAGAGTTCTTCGGCTAGCCCCGCCTTCTCTATGAGACTCCATAGGCTAGCTTTCAGATCTCCTGTGTATCTCTGGGCTCCTGGTTTTTCCTCACCCAGCGTAAAGGAACCTTAGTCTTGACAAGCCCTCATGTGTACTGCTGTTTCCTCCTCTTCCTGACAGAACCTGCACAGCAGTTCTTCAGTCAGACCTATCGTACTCATGTATTTGTTGAGCCTACAATGCCCTGTGAGAAGTCCCACTAGTATTCTAGTTGAACTTCGTTTCTGGCTTAGTAGATATTCTGTGAATGTTGGCGATGGTTTTTCAATAAACTCTTTTGCCTGTCTCATTCCTGGCGAGTTGTTCCACCATTCTTGAGATTTAGTTTGCATCCATGATTTGATACTAGTCTTTTGTATAGCTTTCGCAATACCACACAAGGGTTCTGGGCCAATATATATAAAGACATATCCACCTCTGATATAATTGAACCGAATTCACTGTTCTTATGCGAGATTCACAAGAATGGCACTCGAATACCAATCAATAACGACTTGTCATATGCTATCATAATCATATATGACAACTAGATACTAGTCAGAATCGGACTGAAGTGCTCTCATAGTTGAAATAGGTCCATATTTCAGTTTCACAGAAGTAAAGTGATTGAAATATCCTGCTAGTGGTAAAAAAATTCAACACCTTGGTAGTAAAGTATAATATTACCACGGGACCTCATTACCCTCGGGATATAATCTTGGTTCCTGGGTGATATTGATATTCTCGCCTACCTTGGTGTATAAATAACTATTATCCACTTCACAGAATATTGTCAAGAAGAGTAAATGCCTATGAATTAACATCACTCAATCTCTAGTTCATTTTAAGATCTTTCATCATAAATTAACTTTTTCCACTTTAAACATCCAGTACATTGTAGTTTCGATCTGGTCAGC